AAATCTATTCTTATCCCCATGCAGAGAATCGAGTTCATTGGGGCCCTTCTTTACTCTACCCAAGTGACATCTTCCTTGCTTGGGTCTTGGTTCAAGGCCATGGTGGGTTTCATCTTCATGCTAGAGCACTGCCCAACCACAATGGTGTACAACTGCATGAGTCTCCTTGAGCATATGGCCTTCTGCATCTATGTCTTGTGCCGTGCTCGCCTGTTCCAAGCGTTGCTGGCATCAGTGTTCTCCCCCTCCAGGGACCCCACTGATTACATGGTCACCATGCTGCCAGCGATTCTACAATCCTTATATTATCTGGGGCCACATCCACCAGTGGATGTGGGGCAGTCCTGTTCATGGTCCCACAACCGGAGATCACCTTGGTGACAGATGCCTTGGGCACGGGGTGGAGGATGCACTTAACAGATTTGCAAATGCAAGGCCTATGATCTTGCAGGGAAATGACATTACATATCGATGTTCTGGATCCCAAGGCGGTGTGGTTCGCTTGCCAGGCATTCTTACCTCTCCTGTGGGGTAAATGTGTCACGGTGATGACAGACACTACAGCAACATTTTATATCAATCAACAGAGTGGTGCTTGCTCCTCTCCCCTGTCCTGGAGACCTTTGCATTGCTCTCAACATTCACCTGCAAGTCTTGTAACTGCCAGGCATGCAAAACGACCTTGCAGTCTCCTTGGCCAGCCCTTTCAATCTCATGCGAGGTCCCTCAGGGCGGACATGGCTCTTTCCATCTTCTGAGAGCATCGTCATCCCCAGATAGACCTGTTCATGACCCAGTTAAACAGGGTGACATTCATTCAGGGCCACAGCTGGGGGTCTCTATCCGATACCTTTCACCTGTCATGAATGGAACGGTTTCTCTATGCCTTCCCTACTCTGGGGTCCTCCTCTAAATTTGTCAGGACAAAGCGACGATCATGCTTTCACCTTCAGGTAATCCTGGCAGCTATTTCAGCTTTCCATTCAAGGTCCAGGGTGAAGTCCCTCTTTGGGGACCTGGTGGTTAGTCATTTTTCCTCTCCTTTCTGGACTGTTCCGGCAAGAAGTAACTGAAGTGGGAGTTGGGTCAGCAGGGGTGTATATACAATGCTGTGAGATGTCACGATAGGGGATGCCGCAGCCGACCTGATGAATACCGCTAGGGAAAAGTCTTCTGGCGATCATTCATGTAGTACATGCACACGCATATTGGAATGGACATAAGCAACATTTCTCAAAGAACAAGTTACAAAGGTAAGTAACCACTCTTTATCTCACTCTGGCATAGAAAGGAAGGGTGAACTCCTTACTGTGTTCAAATTAATGGCACAGCTCGCATTGATTTCAGTACCAGCTAGTCTGTTGTTCATTATTTCTCAGGATCTTAGAGAGGTAAATGTGTTAAAGTAGAGTATTAATTGCATTGTTTTAAGCAAGTCATTAAATTTTTTGGAATCTTACACTCAAGTTCTTGAGAATTTAAGAAAACGGTTCCAGTTCATCTCTTTAAGACTGCCTCACCTGTTATTTCTGTGTTCTCATTTTAGTTCTGGGATGTATCTGTTACACCATAGTAGAAAATGTTGGTATATTTAAATATAACTGTGTTCAGTTAGCTGCATTATTGACAATTTTAGGAGTGCATCACCTCTTGGACATGAACATAACATTGGTTAAATATTCACATATAGTTTTCAGTCTGTAAATCTGTAATCCTGTTCCTCAAGATATATATGTAAGATGGCTGAGCATGCAGCCTCACTATTCCCAACTATTTTCCTTTATGTTGCTTTAGTCTTTGTATCAGTAAGGCATTCAGTACATTTTAAAGTCTTGCTGCATGTCTTTGAACAGATTTTGTGTCCTTGAAATTTAAATGCAAAAGAATTACAGCATTACTGTATCAGACTCCATTTTTTTTCTTGGAATTCGATGGGGAAGGCTTCCAAACACAGCATGACAAAACTTAAAACCATACTCAGATCACCTTATAAATATTTATTCATATAAATTCTTTAAAGAAATTAAATTATGCGTTCTGTATAAAATAGAAGAGAGGCTTTTAGTGTCACTGACTGCAAATTGAAGTCATTTGTCTAGAAGGGTCAGGTGCCACTTTGTGGTAAGGATTTGTCTCAGCTCCAAGAAGAGAAAGATTGATAGTACAAAGAGATTGATGAAATGAGCAATGCAGTATGCATACGAAGTTGTGGGTTAATTAGGAGAATTTAAACAAGAAAGTTCCTTTGTGTGGAGAAGTGTTTGGGAGCTGTTACTCTCAGAACTGCGGTACATTGACAGCTTTGCACATTTAGAGTTGATTTTCCTGGGGTATTTATATGGAGATGTGTGGATGTGAATACCAAAGAAGGGGTATCAACAGCAGTTTATTAGCAAATGTAAGGGTGTATATATTTACTTTGTCTTAAATCTTCATCTTGTTATTAATGTAAATTATAATCTGAGTCTCTTGATTCTCTCAGCGGGAAAGATACATTTAGTAACGTTTCGTGGGCTTGTACTGGTTTGTGTCTCAGGACCTCCTGTTTCCATTTGGTTTTTTTATGCATAAATGATATTATACTTAACAAGAAATTTTCTCTTGATTTAAAAAAACTCTCCAGATCTATGCAGTTTTAGGAGGCAGAGAAATCCAAAGGCTTTGGTTGTTAATTAGAAAGTTGTTTGGAAGAACAGAAAAGCTGAAAAGTACACCTGTTGCTTTGAAGTTCCCAGCCACTTGGTGCATTTAGCAGGAAACAGCAAGCTTCCCCTAACCAGTTTTGTGCAGAAATTGGAACTTTGGAATATTTTGTATTTGTAATATTTATTTACCCGAGTGTGATATGACTGTTTTAATTTGACTTCATGCTACAAAAGCAGAATATCTTTCAATGCTCATGGTATAGAAGGCAGAATATTTATCTATTTATTTATTTATTTATTTTTATTTTCTATGCATGACAGATGGCTTTTCTAATAACAAGTCTAATTTTTCCTTGGAAATTAACAAAAATAAGCAAGATCTTCAGAATTTGTGCTATTTGTGCTATTTAGACATAGCCAGTTTCTTTAGCAATTCTGTTTTAGCAGCATCTGTTTATTTTTCTTTCAGCAATTTCACTCCTTGCATACACCTTGGATTCTGCCTTACTGTATATGATGTTTACATCTCCTGCATACAGTAGACATGAGTTATGCTTCTCATAAGAATCACAACTGATATCTCTGATTTCAGAGTGTTTTATCTTCTCAGACAAAACATTGTATGTAATTAGCATTAATTACACAGGTCTTAGAGACCCAGAATGCCTCAAGTCTGTCTACCTTGTAGAGTTCATTTCCCACCACAGGTCATATAACGTGAAGTTTTCACTGTGCTGAAGAGAGAGCAGAAGGGTACAACTCTTACCATTCAGTTTATATCAGGAAGGGCTAAGCTGTCTTTGATGCAATTCACATGACTGAAGATTAGAGGATTGTTCAAGAGAGGAGTTCTGGGTAAGGACAAGTCAAGCACAGGCTCTTGGGCTTCCTGAGGTGCAGATTCTTAGGGGAAACTACAGTGTTCAAATCAACCATAATATGTATTATAATAATTTAAATATTAATAATTATATATTTAACGCCATTCATCTGAAGAAGTGGGTTGTACCCACGAAAGCTCATGATTCCATCTACATTTTTTGTTAAAGTTTTTCCAGTTACAGTCTAATACGGCTACCCCCTCTGAAACTTTTGAACATAGAAGGAACATCTGAACATTTCTGAGATGCTGAAAAAACAAGTTCCTCTTTTTTTTTAACTTTCACTGTTAAGAATGTATATTTTTAATACCAAACAAAGTTTTATCAAATTCTTTCATGAAATTTCACAGATCACCTGAGCCCAAGCATATGAAATGTCATTCTAAACAAATGTGAGAAGGATTTGTCTTTTGAAAGCTTATGTGCACCTGCAAATAGTATACAGGTTGAAACTCCATAATTGAGAGTCCCCGGTCCGGCACACCCCTGGTCCAGCACCATCAGGTGCCTTCCATGAGCGCACTCATGGTGATAAGCTATTGGGCTGGGGCTAGAAGCATTGCCAAACTAGCGAGCCAAGATAGAGCCCCAGGGGGAAGCAGAGCTGCTGGGAGGAACGTAGAGCACCTGGTCTCTGGTGGGAGGGAGTAGCTCCCTGTCACGGTGGAGGGCAGCAGTACAGCTGGGCCATAGCGGCATGCCAGGAGGGCGGGAAGTGCAGAATCACGGAGAGGAGAACAGAGCCCTGCAAATGGCAGCAGAGCTGCTTGGTGGAGCGTGGAGCCACCAGGGCTTTTGGAGGGAGCATGGAGTTGTTAGACAGGGGAGAGCGTGGTGTTGCTGGGCAATAGCAGACCCCTGAGGTGGCAACAGCCAGGAAAAGCACAGAGCCCCAGGCAGCAGTGAAACCACTACAGGGAGAGTGGAGCTCTGGACTGCAGAGGAGTCCCTGGCCACTGGGGGAAAAGCAGAGTCCTGGCAGGGGAGTAGAGCCCCAACTGGCAGCTAAGCTGCAGGGGGAAAGTAGAGTTCCCCTTTCCCTGTGCTGTGGGGAAAGCAAAGTCCTGGGTAATATGGACGTACCTTGAGAAAAGTGGAACCACTGGGAAGCCATGGGAAAGTGGACCCCTCCACTGCGTTGACCTCCCCTGGTCCAGCAAATTCCCTGGTTCTGAGCCAGTCAGGTGCTGAGGGTGCCGTACCAGGGAGGTGCAACTTGTACACTGAAAGTGGTGTCTCGCTCATAGCTTTAGTGTCACTCCCAGGATGCTGGTTTAACAGGCTATCAACTCACTTCACCCTGCTTACTTTCAACTTCATTAAAAGGACAGATGTTTGGCATTGGGTATCTGCTCTGTAAAAGATGTGCATTTTGTCAATATTTTGGTTTCGTGCAAAGATATTTTTCTAGTTGATAAATCCAGTGAGTAGTTAACATGAGGAACTAATAGTGATACCATTTTTTATTTTACAGAAACCCAAGCAGAAAGAATGGCATCCTCCAGGAGGTTTTATTCTAGGACTTTGGGCATTGATTATCATGGTCTTCTTTAAAACATATGGAATCAAGCACATGAAATATGTCTTCTAGGTTTTCTGAGCAACCAAGATGATTGTACTGACTGCAATATGGGATAAAAATTGGTGTTATCAAAGTCTCTTTATTTGTGTATTATGTCTGTTTGTAGTGACAAATAATGCTGAAACCTCACATCTAGATGTTTTTTGATGTTTTATCATCTGTCCTCCTCTCTGTAAAAAGCCTAAGTAATGGTTTTACAATTGGATAATTTTATACTTTCTCATTTAAACACATTATACTGCTGTTTCTGAGAAATATTTCTCCTGTGTTTTCAGAGAGAGAACAGGAAAACTCTAGGTCTCAGCTGAATCTTTAAAATGTTAAGTCTGATTATGAATTGTGGAAGAGAAAGAATTCTCAAGTTATCCTGTCATTGGAACAAAGGACTGGACTCTATGCAGAACCTTATTTAATGTGTCATTTTATCAATAAAAACTTAAGTCACTCTGCAGACTTCAGGCATGACGTATTGAAAACTTGCTCAACAGAAACAAAAATATTGTAGAAAATATTGATTTTTTTTGTGTGTTAAATACAATCCTTTAGGTCGGTTCTTTTACCTAGGGCAATTTTGGGTTTAGGACTCTGAGCCATTAGAATTGAAAACCAAAAATATGGCCAAACAATGACCTTATTCAATCTAGTTGAAGAAAAAGCTGCCAAAGTGTGTAAAAACATTATTTCTTATTGTCCATTAGAAACCATTTGCTTTTAGAACCCTGGATATACCTTACAAACACTGTTTTTCTATGGCAGTAATTTGGAGTAGAGGATTTCCAATGCTTTAAATACACTGGATCTTTGTTTGCCTAGAGGAAAATTGACTTTAATATCAGAGATTTAAAATAATTGTAAAAATTGTACTATTGGACTCAGGAATTTCTGAACTGTTATTTTAAGTCATCAATTTTGTTCTGACATATCTTTTTGTTTGTTCTTATTAGATATTTATTGAATAATGTATGCTAGGTGGGCTTTGTTCTTAGATTTTACCAGTATTAGGTGACAGGAAGACCATATACAGGAACAACAAATGCCCACTGAGATACTTCTGAAGTGTTTTTCCTGAATATTTCAGGGTTCTGCTCTGTATGTCAAATATAAAGATTAAATATTCAGGAAGTCCCACAGAGTCATCCATTAGTCCCACAGAGTCATCTTGCTCCCTAAGCAGAATGAGGTGCTTAGCACCTGTGATGGGCACAAGTGCAGAGAGAGCTCTAGACTTTTCCAGACTTCCCCCTACATATTTCCACATAGATTTCCCCTATCTTGGTACTGCCATGAATGTGAGAAATGGGAAATAGAGGTTCCCCCCTCCTAACCCATTTAACATTTAACTGGTTAACCAATTAAATGGGATTTTACAAACCTACCTTAAAGGACCTCTGTCAACCTATTGTTCCTAAAATCAGCAGCTGATACAGTTTTCTTTTCTTTTTTCTCAAATAATTGTTTATATCAAACAATAAATCTGCTTTAAAATCAGATATGGTCACATTTTAAAAGACAGACGGAGTGATATTCAAGAACTTTCTGACCTGTTTCAACTGCAATTAAATTTTCTCATTCAGATTCCTTAGGTCTTATTCATTTGCCCACCTCCTGTTTTTTGTTTTTGTTTTTAACTTTTATCGTCTGAGTGAAAAATAATAGGCAGAGGAATCAACAGAGCTGGGATGAATTTTGAGGAGCGGGGTCGAAATCAGTGGTTCTGTACTTTTGGGGGAAAAGTGCTTGGGGAAAAGGAGGCAGTTAGGAGGGTTTATTAGAACACAGTTTATGGAAGGGAACACTCAAGGATACTCAAACAGGTGATGAAACCTCAATCAGAAAAACAATTTGAATGGAATACAACAAATGGTGCTTAAGGTATTTAGGCTTGAGATATTAAAAAATAGAGAATAATACAAATGTAGGTGTGCAAGAGGCTTGAGAGATCAAGTCCAACACCAACACCCTTGTGCTGAGGCAAGATTCAAGAAAACTTAAAACATCCTCGGCTCCTGATTGGTGTTTGTACGATATTCTTAACGTTCAATGATTGAGATTCCTCAATTTCCCTTGGAAGCCAATTCTAGAGCTTAACAATCATGATAGTTATTATGTTTTTCCTAATATCTAACTATCCCTTGCTGCAGTTTAGTCCATTACGTCTTCTCCTATCTTCTGTGGCAATAGAGAACAATTGATCACCATCATCTTCAAAATACCCTTTAATGTCTTTGAAGACTGTTACTAGGTTCCTCCCCAGTCATCTCAAAATTAACCATGCCCAAGTTTTAACCTTCCCTCATAGGTCATATTTTCTAAAGCTTTTATCATTTTTATTGCTTTGCTCCAGATTCTCTCCAATTTGTCTATGTCTTTCTTAAAGTGTCTTGCCCAGAATGAGGCCTCCCCAGTCACTAGTATACTAATAGACTTTAAGGCCAGAAACAACCAACATAATCATCTAGTCTGATGTCCTGCACAGGCTATGGAACTTCACCCACTCATTCCTGTAATGGACTCTAACTTCTGGTTGTATAAGTGAAGTCCTTAAGTCATGATTTAAATACTTCAAATTACAGAGAATCCACCATATTTACACTGGCTTAAATCTGCAGTTGACTGGTGTCCCGTGCTGCAGAGACAGGCAAAAAACCAAAATAAAACAAAAAACCAAACAAACCCCCTCCCCTCCAAAAAACAAAGGATTTCTGCCAGTCTGACCTGGGAGAATAATCCTTGCTGACCCCAAATAGAGTGATCAGTTGGACTCTGAGCATTTTGGCATGACCCACTAGCCAGACAGCTGAGTGAGAATGCTCTCCACTAACTTAGCACTCTTCCCCCTATAGTCTCACCTCCATGTGAAAGAGGCTGAAATTTGGAGAGGGCATTCCCAGAAGTTAGTCATAGCAGCTGAGGAGCACCTGCTGGTTGAAAACACAAAGTTAGAGATCTCTGATGGAGCACACTTTTCATCTGAAAAGGTCCAGCACCGTAACCACCTTATTCTTGGGTGCGGGTTCCAGCTGCTCCTGGTGCTTCCTATGATTGACCATATCCACCACCAGTGATCTGGCAGGGGGCTCATGCAGATGTCTTTGTCTGCTTCAGTATAATCTAGTACCTCTGCACTACCTTGGCCTCAGGTGTGATCGAGGCAGAGGTCTGCCACAGCACCTTGGTGGTTGTCCGTATTGCTTTAATAATCGGGTGGGCAACTTGAGCTGGTCCCTCCAGTGAGAGGACATCCACAGTAAGGTCTGATTCCTCCATCACCTCCTGAGCTTGGAGGCTAAGGATTTGAGCTATCCAACAGAGAAGGTCCTGGAGAATCGTAGAGTCCATAGATGGGGGGACAATGCTATGCCTGCCACCTCCTTGTCTGGAGATGCTGCCACCATCAGGAACACAGAATCATCCTGTGCTGGTGGGTCCTCCATGACCTGCACCTCCTGTGGTTGGTTCAGGGTACCACCAACTCCAGGTCACCATGCCTTGCCAGTACCTCCAGCACTGGAAGAGGGACTGGCATTGGAGTGGAGGCCAATGATGCAGCTTGAGTTGGCTCTGGAAGATGGTCCCTGCCCTTCGCTTTGGTGGTATGCCCAGAGTCCACAAGGGCCATTGCATTGGCTCTTGCTACTGAGGGGGTAGGAACTGTCTTTTAACGTTACTGCAGTTTGGAGATAGGGCTTATGTCCTCCCTGAAGAAGAGGTGCCAACACCCCCATTTGGAGTAATCAGAGGGTCATCTCCCTAAACAAAAGCTGGTTGCATTATTGGTGAAAGTAGAGATAGCAGTAGCTTCCTTCCGTCGTCAGGATGATGGTGCTTCCTGGTAACTTAGGAAAAAGAGGATTGACTGTTATATTAAATTGAACTCTCCTATTTTCATAGCTGCCAGGAGTTTCTGCCCTGGGGCTCAGGTAGTTTTGCTTGTTTATCTCTCTCTTGCAGCCTTTTCTGCCAGCCTGGAATCATGCATTTGTTAATCATTTGGGCATGCCCTGGAAAAATAAATACTGCACATACATACAAGATATTATTTGTTGTTACTAAAGGATCATCAACAGCCATGAATTAAGGTACAAATTAAGGTACACATATATTTAGGCATGCATACTTGGCTATATACATATGGAAAAGCTGCCATACTTTCAGTCAAATGATGACAATATCCTTGAATAAGTGATCCTAAAGAAGTGAAGATGTTGAAATAAAGATGATGATTTTAGAGTGATTATGTGGGGGGGAGGGGGGTAAGTTTTTATCATTTTTATAGTATAATTTTTCCTGGGCTCTATATAGTAAAACAATACAGTATATCAATGCAGTTATATGGTCAAGGATTTACAGACAAGAAAATGAGCAAATGCAATCATGGCCACATTGTAGGCATGGGTGTTCTGTGGGCATTATCAAAATTGTTTCTTAAATTCCAGATACTAGGCTAAAATATGCAAGCTCAGACAAAGCACTGCAATTGCACAAAGGGAATAATTTGATCAGAGAAACATATATGATGTGATAAAAGGAAAGTACTCAGTTTGACTCTCTGTTTCCAGGTTGAGTTCGTAACATTGGAAGTTGGTTGTGGGTGGGCAAAATTTTCATTTATAAACAGAGCACATTTACTGGGAACCTTACTGAGACATATTTCCAAGTTCACTTTTCTGAGTGGTACTGTACCTTGAGACAAAAATTATAATCAAATACCCAGGGGTGAAAGTAACTTAAATTTCTCACAAGTACTGTCCTACCACAACCCACCCCCCTTCGGGGGCTCAGGTCAGAGGAATTTGGGGTTGATACAACAGCATCTGTAAGAAATTTAACTAGGTGGCATTTGGAGGAGCTCAGGGCAGAGGGTTGGGATGTGGTGGGGTCAGCAATCAGGGCAGGGGCTGATGACATAGGGGGTGCAGGAGTCAGGGTTGGAGTGCATGCGGAGCATGGGACGGCGGTTGGGTTGTGCTGGAGTCAGGGCAGAGGGCTGGGTGTGTGGAGGGCTCAGAGCAGGGTGCTGTGGTGTGTGTGTGTGTGTGTGGGATGGAGTGCAGGATGGGAGGCTCAGGGCTGAGGTTGTCTCCATTGATGACTGCTCTGCGCTGCTCCTGTTCCCAGCGAAATGGGAGCTGTGGGGGCAATGCTGCTAGGCACAGGAAGGGAACTAAAGGTGGCCAGGATGCTGCAGCACGCCTGGGATACTGGCCCAGTGCCTAGGCCTCTGAATGCCAGTCCTGTCCACCCCTCAGGGTTCACCCATCTTCTGCTAGCCCCATGGGCTCTCCTGGCTGCTGGACTCAACTATGGCCAGGGATGGAGGTGGAGAGAACAGGATTAAGGTCCCACTTCAAGTCGGCCACTTTCTTACTGGCTTACTTTTACCTTTGCAAATACCTGAAACAAGACTGTCACATGAGCTAGACAGTTGACTTATAGTAGTTTGGGGCTTTGGTTTCCTTAACCATGGATTTTTTTCCCGGAAAGGACAATT